ACACTTCGTAGTAGTTGAAATGTGGTGATATTCAACAAGTGACACAAGGACTTCACGAATGTTATTCATTATTGTTGACCGCGATCTGTTTTCCCTGCCCGACACTTTAACCATTACATTATTTAATATTCAACAGTAAAGTTTAAGTTTTCACAAATATTGAAAGTTTTGGTTTACGAGTTTAGCTACTAGATATTTAAACTGTTACATATGAATTTAAAAGATGAAAAATTTGTCTTCTAATAATTCTTGTTGATAAAACTTTTATAATTTTTAATAAAAAAGTATTTAAAATCTCTAAATTTGTATTTAACAAAAAGTTTATAAGAATAAAATCTGACATTCCTACAAGCGTTTGCCAGTACAGGTAGCATAGGCGTGTGCTGAGGTTTTCCCATGAATCTCGTTTCATTTTCGTGTATCTGGGAAGTGACTTTGCTAAACTGTTTATACTCTCAATAATAATTATCAAAAAATAACATTTTAATAGATAAAAAACGACTGTTTATCTATTTTAGTTGATCTTACACTTATGTTTCAAATTGCAAAATTTCGTTAGCAATGTTTCAGCCTCCTCAAAGATATCTCTGCCCTGTTCACAGTAAAGATATTGAGCTCATTTGCAAGACATGTCGACAGTCGGCCTGTGTTGTTTGCTTGGTCGCCACACACAACAGACATGATATGATGCTAGCCTCCGAGAGGGTTGAAGCCAACAAACGAGTTCTGAGTAAGATGATAGCGTCCAATGATGAGAAAATAAAGGAACTCGACGTGAACATAATGAAGATTCAGGAAGAAATTACTAAAGAGGTTGTTAAAGAAATTAAAAATTATTTAATGAGAGCAGTGGATGATTTTCTGACCAGCAAGCTTCATCCATATTTGAAACCATTCCAGCAACTGCGGGACAATCTAACAGATTATAAACACAAATTAGAGGATGTCAAATACTTAACTGATAATGAGGTCGTGGAAGATGAAGTCCTGGTTGATTTCAAAATAACGAAAAAATTTGAGTATCCAATTTATCAAGTAGACTACCAGAAGATGCAAGACAACTTTCGGCTGTTTCCACAAATTTTTCAAAACTCAATTAAGAAGATTTGTTAGTATGAAAATAATATATATATATATATATATATTTACATTTTTTACTAACCGTAACGAATTATTTGTCGGTTGAATAGGTGTTGGACGTGACTTCGTTACTCTGGTTAAAGAAATCAAATGTGGAGTGCCTGTGACGTGTTTCACTATCTCAAACGACAAACTTTACATTTTTTCAGGAAACGAGTTTATCACAAAAGACCTCCTTAATCCCGAAGAAGTTTCAACTGAAAATATCGGTGACGGCTTTCTAAATCTAGGAGACATTTTGAGTTGTGATGATAACTTTTATTATTATTACGACGATATGATTCAAAACATTTTTAAGGAAAAGATTTACAGTCCTATTGCAGATTTGAGTAGTAGAATGAAAGTAAATGGTCTAGAATTCCTAGAAATAAGAAACATAAATTGCTTCTCTCTAGCCGGGAAAAATATTTTGGCTGCTAGTAACGGCGCACTTTACGAAATTGAAAGTAACTCTTTGCAAGAATCAAGCATTTTTAAAAGTTTTATTGATATGAACACGTATATCTNTCAAGTTTTAAAGATGAACTGTGAAAAACTTGTGATAGCCTCAGA